GGGACATTTTGTTGTTCTATCTTGCCATACATATAGATGTAGGCCTATGTACATTTTCGTTGCGATTTGGTTAGTGCGATACGAATATGGGAATTCGAACATTCTGTAATAATTGTCAATTTTAGTCTTGGTAATGTGCGTGTATTTATGTACATGTAACATGTAATATCTTTCTGCGCAGATTGCAGAGTGTCTTGTCATGCTTCATTTTATGAAAATTAAATGTCTTTAATTTTGAGGAGCCATGTAACCGATTCATAAATCGGGTCAGTTTGTACGTTGGAACAGCCTTAAGTTAATATGATAGAAGAGCTTTTAGTTTAAGGGATAGGTTATTGTTATTGTCTAATAATATGAACTCTGTGAACTGTTGTAATGTTTTTTTGATGTATGTTTTTTATGTATATTAATTTATTACGTTATAAACTTCCAGGCTGCGCTACGCTTCGTAAAATAGTAACCTAAAGCATTGATGTTAAATTGTTTAATATCCCTGCGTAATTAATGCTCCCTGTGTCAGTCTTGCAAATGGCTTTCCTAGAAACCATGTTTTTTCGTTTTTGCGTGTGGTCAAGTTAACAGGCTCTTGGAGGTAAATAATTCTGTAATATTGCATTTGTATGTCATATTTCGTTTAATGTAGTATTCATTTATTTGTCCTGCTAGGTTTTACGTTGTGTTAAACTGTATTAATTTGTATTTTTCAGTTTTCACGTCTGTGTTACCGGCATGTCTTTTAATTCAAGTCTGGAAGTTCGAGTCTAAGTTGTTTGCGTTCATCATGATTGTATGATATTCTACGTTAGGCTATTTCCAATGTTTATACGATGATATCCTCGTCCGATGTCATGAAGCATTAAAGAGACAATGAATAAAGATATGTATATGGTGTATTACAGTTAGTCGAGTCTCCTTTTCAATCTATGGTGTTATACCCCTGTTGTCATGATCACAGGCTGGGTGCGTTCGTCTAGGTCTCCAGCTGCCTCTATAAGTTGTTTATTATTAATATTAAACTAGGTCAAACTTGACATAACAATCCCGTATAAAAGAAACATTGTAGAAACACTCCTATCAGGGGCGGATCAAGGAATTTTTGTAGGAGGGGATCTGCCAGGTTCCTGTTAAGGAAATTTGACAGTTGACAATGCATGATGCCATCATCTTCTCCAATTACGTAGGCATACATACACACTGAGCTTTTTAAAGAGAGAAATCCAACACCCCGTTTGACTTTTCATAAAAAAGTGTTGTTTTACAAATAAATTATGTAGACCCGCCCCCTGCCTATAAATAAATCTCAAGGTCGTTTTAAAAATACCACATCTATTGAAACCAGTTACAACAAATACAATTACTGAACCGCGTGTTTCATTCATGGTCGACATTATTTTTTTTATTTTGAATGTTAAAGGGGCAGAAATTATGTTTAAAATATCGGATTCTAAATCCCAAGTCTATTTACGGCAATTAATGTACCTAGTTAAACGCCTTGACAACTACTAAACATATCCGACAACACTTCTCCCGTCCAAAGGCAAAACCTAGTAACTCACTTTTTTTTTTTTTTTTATCAAAATTGAGTTAGGACCAAATTTGTAGTTACTAGGGTATGTGCTTCCTGTTGTTATACTAGATATTCCAATCTTTTGATTTTGGAAGCAGATACACCCATGACACAACCTAGCAACTTCCTTCATTTGCCTAGTATACCACCGCAAAACCTAGTAACTCAATAGTCAAATCAAAATGAATGAGCTGGGGTTTAATATTCATTCATTACGTTTTCCCTTGTTTTCTCAAAATAAGAAAAAAGTGAGTTACTAGGTGTTGACTTTTGACGGGAGACTTGTCCTTCGACAATGGATGGACGGATTAGTCTAAAATTGTCCATCTCTGAATTAACTGCATAGTCAAATGAGAGAGAGAGAAATTGGGTTTAACGTCCACTCGACACAAACTAGGTCATTTCGGGACTAACACATGGTTTTTAATTTTATTTCAATAATTCGCTTGCGCGTAGGGGTCTTTAGCAGTGGGAGGAAACCGGAGGACCCGGAGTAAACCCACGGTGTTGGACAGGCGACCCTATTCCTTGTCACGTACAACCGGGGATTCGAAACCACGCCAGTTGACTTAATGACCATAGGCAAATGACGTTGGATTAAATTAATGTCTCTATTATACAGGCCGGTGAAGATTTCCAAAGTGTACCTCTTTAAGCGAACTAGTATCCATGATATACGAGTACCATACATTAAATTCACATAATCCTTATAAGACAGAAGTAGATTTTACAAATTAAAGACACTTATATGAATATACTACTTGTGAATTTATTAACATGCTACGTTTCGATACACGTACAGATATCGTTATCTATATATTGCCCCACATTTTTTGTAAAATATCATTATTTGCTCGATAACGATATCTGTATGTGTATCGAAACGTAGCATGTTAATAAATTCAGAAGTAGTATATCCATATAAGTGTTTTTAATTCATTAAATTCACTATATAATCTGAAATGAAATGAGGTTTAACATCCAACTGTTCTGCTCTGAACTGGGCTAATGAAGACGGGCATACGCCATACAGTGTGCTATGAGGGAAATTTTGCCCAGACAGCGGCACTACGTCCTACTCTTGTATCGAATCCCAACTGTCAGGGGATTTTTTACGTGCACGCCAATGTGTACACGGGACCTCGGCTTTTCGTCCCACCCGAACGACCAGAGAGCTGTCCTTGGCAGGCCCACCGTGCTACATCACTGACAAGGGGGAACCACGCCGAAAAATCTGGATGAACTTTCTCGGCCAATGCAGGGATCGAACGCCCGACCTCCAGGCTAGCGAGCCAACGTCTTACACTTATGAAGCCTACACCACGTCATAATTACTTTGTAAGGGTAATTATAAAGCCCGTATCTTGGCTTGTCATGAATACCGCATGTGAAGCTTAATATGAAAGTGTGTCAAGCGGTTCTTGTTGGACAAACGATCAAAGTTCAAGCCGCTCTTGTGGGACTAACAACCGAGTTCTAGTCCGATTCGGGTTGTTACATGATTCCCATCCGTCAGTTTTTCGGGTAGAAATCGTGGAATAAGCTTTATTTTGAAGGTTTTGATGTTTAATGACAAAAAAACAATGTTGCCATTTTTTCTGAGTAGATCTTCATGGTGTGGGAGGCCATTATTTGGGGTAGCCGTTTTGCGATAATATTCCAACTTATTTTTTTATTTTCATCATATTTATAATGTTATTGACATATCAACTGTGATTTGGCAATGTATTAATATTGGCAGGGGTCGTAACTATATTTCGGATTTTTTTTTTACACATCATGAAGATATTTCCAAGATGGCGACCATTTATTGGCGGGAAAATCGGACCATGTGCGGATTTTGATTAAGTAGTAGTGTTTGGTGTCAATATATATGTTTTCAGGGACACAGATCCCATTTCTAACGTTTACAACTGTGTACAATTATCACAAGTTCACCTATTTTGCATATTTCCAAGATCGCGTCCATTTTTGGCAGGAAAATGGGACGGTGTGCTGATATTGATTAAGTAGCCGTCTTTGGTGCCAATATATATGTTTTTAGGGGCACAAATTCCATTTCTGCCAGTTAAAACAGTGTAAAATGATTACAAGTTCACCTATTTTGCATATTTCCAAGATGGCGGTAATGTGATGATGTGCTGATATTGATTAAGTAGTCGTCTTTGGTATCAGGAGTTCCAGTCGTTCCTGTTGGACTAACAACCGAGTTCAGGGGTGGGACTAACAACCGATTTCCAGCCGTTCTTGTGGGACTAACAACGGATTTCCAGTTTTTCTTGTAGGACAAGCAACGGTTTTCCAGCCGTGTTCAAATAGGTAGCTTTAGTAACTGATTAGTTTTGGAAGACGAATACGCCGAGAAAGAAGATTCCCCGGAAATATTGACAGTATTACAAGTGTCCAACTCCGATACCAAACACAGTTCGGTCATTCCAAACAAAACTATCTTGAACTAAAACAGGAAGAGCCAGTTTCTAGTTTGTTTTTAATATAACACTTTGGTTATACTCTATGGCATAGAGGGAAATTGTGTCCTGACGACAAAATGACATTGCAAGACGCATGCCACTGATGTAAAACACTGTGTCAGTACAAATATGCCTGTTATAAATGAAATGAAATGGGGTTTAACGTCCTACTGTTCTGCTCCTATACTGGGCTAATGAAGACGGGCATACGCCATACAGTGTGCTATGAGGGAAATTTTGCCCGGGCAGCGGCACTATCGCCTACTATTATATCGAATTCCAACTGCCAGGGGATCTTTTACGTGCATTCCAATATATACACGGGACCTCGGTTTTTCGTCTCATCCGAAGGACTAGACAGCTTTCCTTGTCAGGCCCTCGGTTCCGCACCACTGACAAGGGGAAACCACGTCGGAAAATATCGATGAACTTTCTCGGCCAAGGCAGGGATCGAACACCCGAACTCCAGGCTAGCGAGCCAGCGTCTTAACCACCTAGCCACCGTGGCTCCCATGCCTGTTATAGGACACACTACACTGATATACCACTTTTAAAAAAAGGTAACTAACCCTTGTATCCTATACCCAATCTCGATCACAGAAATAACTTTACTCTTCGTTTATCTCCAGTAAAACTCGCCGGCCATTTTGAAATCGGCAGCATTTCATTCTAACAAATCTAGCCGCCAATCAGCAGCCACTGGGGCGGAGCTAAGTAAATTTACCCTTCGTTGATCTCTGGTAAAACTCGCCGGCTATTTTGCCACCGGCAGCATAGCATTTCAATCTAACAAATCTAGCTAATTAGTAGCCACTTGGGCGGAGCTAACGAACCCATTTTACCCCGATTAATGGCCGGCGAGTTTTACAAGAGATAAACGAGATTGTCTTATACCTGATTGCAATGAGATTTATATCAGTTCGGCATTCCAAACAAACCTATACTAAATAAAATAGAAAGAGCCGTGTCTATTTTTGTTTTATTTTTACACTTGAGGTATACACGATGACCTGTTTTGAATTGAAATCCTTGAACACTTCGAATACACTATGAAATAAGAGGGGAATTTTTCCCGGACAGCGACACCACGCCCTACTCCTATATCGAATTCCAACTGCCGAGGGTCTAATAAGTTTAATCATGTATCCAATAAATTTCTAAAGCTGTATAATAGACTGCATATTTCTATGTTTTGGTGTGTTTAGATCCTATCATAGTCAAGCTGGTATCACAACTGTACATTCTATCATAGTCAGGCTGGTTTCACGACTGAAATATTGTGTGCTTAAATCATATCATAGTCAGGCTGATCTCACAACTGTTACATTGTGTGCTTAAATCCTGTCATAGCTGAGCTGATTATCACAACTGTCGTTACATTCGGCGTTTAAATCCTATCATAGTCAAGCTGATAACACAACTGGTACACGTTTAAAAATCCTATCATAGTCAAGCTGATATCACAACTGTACATGCTGTGTTTAAATCCTATCATAGTCAAGCTGATAACACAACTGGTACATGGTCAAAATACTATCATAGTCAAGCGGATATCACAACTGTACATGTTGTGTTTAATTCCTATCATAGTCAAGCGGATATCACAACTGTACATGTTGTGTTTAATTTCTATCATAGTCAAGCTGATATCACATCTGGTGCACTCGGTCTTTAGATCCTATCATAGTCAAGCTGATGTCACAACTGTACATGTTGTGTTTAATTCCTATGATAGTCATGCTGATATCACATCTGGTGCACTCGGTCTTTAGATTTATCATAGTCAAGCTGATGTCACAACTGTACATGTTGTGTTTAATTCCTATGATAGTCATTCGGTGTTTATTAATCTAGTTTATAATACTACCAGTCACAATATAATGTCAGGTTGTACACAAAATGTCATCTCAGCTACTCATAAATTAGCTGTTGGAACTCGAAACATTCTGAATATATCCACATCTCCGTCCACACATCGACTTTAAATACACTTATCATCACGATGTAAGCCTTCATACTCGAATACTTCAGCAATGCCAAGGTCATCCCTATTTATTTGGTTTTATTACACCGGAGAGTAGAAATCCATTCTACCCCCTTAGCCACTTATTCACCCTTCATGTCAAATGTTCGTCCATTAAGAATTTGTCAATCTTTACATCACCTTCGTCCTTTTTATGTACAAGACAGATATCCAAAAACCTGAAATGAGAAATGGTGAAAATAGACATTAGGAATATTGAAATGGTTAAAGGTGGTTGGGTATACATGGAAGTAGTTAATCCAATCCAAAGATTGGCGTAATACTAATTTTTTCAACACTATAGGATGCTAAAACAATACTCGCCCACTAGCAACTGTTTACCGTGGTTGATGCCATAGGTATACACTATGGGATGCTAAAACAATACTCGCCCACTAGCAAGTGTTTACTGTGTTTGGTGGGATAGGTATACACTATGGGATGCTAAAACAATACTCGCCCACTAGCAACCGTTGACTGTGGTTACCCCCCCCCCCAGTTGCAACACGAGATCCTTTATGGTGGGTTTATAAAAACAATATCTCTTCAAAATTCATAAATTGTACAAATATTTATACGAGGTCCTGTAACAGAGGATTTTACATTTAAATAAAACTGAAACAACAAAAGCTTCGGTTTACTGTCATTAGGTTTTATTAGAAGTATCACATACCTGGGTTTACCGTCATTAGGTTTTATTGTTATACTTCCACTAATTGTAGTATCCTGTTCAACACTGAAAGGGTCTCTGATGTGGAGTACAGTTTGAGCCCAATGAGTTTCACTGGAAAATCAAATCAAATCAAATAACAGAATATTTTATTCGCAAGGATATGAGGCCTACATTCGGGTAATTCCCTCTGATCCAAATCTTAGTGCGAGTGTGATAATTGCATATGTGTCAAAGTTTTCTGCTGGGAAAAGATTATAAATATGATGAGAGAGAGAGAGAGAGAGAGAGAGAGAGGTATGCCTTTAGATGTGGGAGGAATCCCGAGAGTCTATTTCTTGTCTCTGTTTGGAAGAAAGAGCAGTTTGTATTTGTCAGTGAGGAGTGAGTTTTGTAGCATCTACTGTCTGATTCATCGTAAATTTTAAACGGATTTCTTCGATTATGAACAAACTACTTAACTTTGGTTATTATAAACTTACCTGTGTGTTTGTAATGAACTCCCGTTCGATAAAATCCATTGCACAACTAATTATCACAACGATGAGAACAATTTCTCTCTTGAAAAATTTGAAAATTTACTTGTAATTTCAACAGAGTCGATGTCAACAATGTCTTCGTGACGTAATGGTCGAATCCAATATACCTGTTGCGGGGGTTGGTTAACATTGAAAGATAGTTTGACAGCGCGATCATTTTGATCGTATATGGGTTTGGGCGACGAAAAATATCAATTGAAGGCAATTACATAGGAGATTTATATGGAAACCATTGATCGCCAGTCTATCAAATTTTCTTCACAATTAAAATATCACTGATTGCACGGATACTCGTAAAAATAAAGTCATGAATAAACTATAAATATCCTATCTTCTTTATGTTATAAATAATTTAACAAGGATCATGAAGCTTACCTCCGAATTCTCTGAGTGTATTTTTAATTTTATACGCATTCTTTCGATAGAATAATAACCGCTTCAGTAACATCTTTAAGCGTGTTGCGGCAGCCCTCAGCGTGTCTATTGCCGTATTGGGTGCCCGGGTGGGTATATAATGCTACTAAGCCCGTATGACCCCGTAAGAAGCGGAACATTAATTCTCGATTCGACAGTTTTGACCGAAGTGTGATAAAGCCCGTAAAACGAATGTATAGTTGTGTTTGTGCGGCATGCGTGTTCAAAAGTAAATAATCCCATCCGAATCGCTAATCAAATAATTAGAACAAAATATTTCAAAAAGTAAAGCTATAAAATTTGCAGAGATTTTACTAGAATGTAAAAGACGGTAACTAAATACAGGAATGCGGGTAATTATGTGTGCGAACGCTCAAACTCAATGCCAATTGTCGTAGGTATCCAGACCACTCGGAGCAAAGACTACTCGGACTAAGACCAGTCGGACCAAAACAAGACCAGTCGGACCAATCAAATTATATTATAAGGCTAGACAATATGCTATTTATTTATTATTAAATCACAATACAAAGAAGCAAATAATTCTTATACGGAATTCTTATATTTAGAGTTGTTTGGTTCAATTTTGTGTACGGAAAATAAATCAACGATTAGTTTTAAAATTAATTAATAATGGTGCCAAAAAAAAATATCAATCTAATTTTTCTTTACTCTTGCAATGAGACTCGGTATGTCCAGACTTTTGACAGTTTCTACATATACGGGTATACTGTTCTTGTCTGATAGCCTAATTTTACTTTTTCCACATTCGCGGTATCCCCAGTGGTTTCATTCCGTTCTACCCCACTAACCCCTGGGTTACTATATATGGGGGGGGGGGGGGAGACACGTTTTCAAGTTATCCGCCCTTGATGCGTTAATATTAACAGCACATAATAATACGAAGACCGGACGTTTATATGCCCCTTTTTAAACGTGACTACAAGTGTGGTTCTCGATATTTTGCGATTTGGAATACAATTATCAATTTATTCAAACAACACGTTATTATTAGTTCGAGTAGTCATATTAAAACACACACACTTTTCAATTTATTCAAATAACACTTTATTATTGGTTCGAGTAGTCATATTAAAATAAACACAATTATCAATTTATTAAAATAACACTTTATTATTGGTTCGAGTAATTATATTAAAACAAACGCAATTATCAATTTATTAAAACAACATTTTATTATTGGTCCGAGTGGTCTTTCTGTTGGGTCCGAATAGTCTTTTTGTATGGTCCGAGTAGTCTATTTGTTTGGGCTGAGTGGTCTATCAGTTGGTCCGACTGGTCTTGAACCGAGTGGTCTTTGGGCCGAGTGGTCATGGATTCTTGTCGTAATTGTACTTGAATTTCCTATGCTGTCACCCCTAATACGAAATGATATCTTCCGCAGAGTGACGTAACCATCTTCCATATTGGTATTTTTCTCTGGGAAAAGTTTGTGATATTTCAATTTTTCAAGAGAGAACTTGTTTTCATCGTTGTGATAATTAGTTGTACAATGGATTTTATCGAACGGGAGTTCATTACAAACACACAGGTAAGTTTATAATAACCAACGTAAAGTAGTTTGTTTATAATCGAAGAAATCCGTTTAAAATTTACGATGAATCAGACAGTAACAAAGCGACTACGTGCTAATCATTCGGCAATCCAAACCCCCATCAATATTATGACATAGCCTACTTACTCGGTATAAGGTGAAGTGGTTAACGTTATATTAGCAGGAAATTCTACAGTAAACCAAGTCACGAATCCATGGATTGTAGAATGGCCGAAACATTTAAATTCAAAATTACTCTGAAAAATACACAAACAGTGTATACAACATTAAAACTGAATGTCATTAAAGACTTCTAGTTGCTATAGATTCCCTTGAATGGGATACAATATTTGGACTACTAGACTCACACTGCTCAGCAGTGAATATTCGCTAGGCCGCTACAATCACTGATAAGGATGACATCGATGTGACTTAATGAGTCACAAATATTAGCTTTATTCCACGGACAAATTAAATTCTAAAACATTTTTTTTTTATGTATTAGAAAAATAAATAAAGACGTTTGACGTATTTGTAGGTAAAAGTTATTCCTATTTAGTGTAAATGAGTATTAAAATGAGTAAAAGGCTCCATTGGGCCAATAATTGACGCCGCGTGATGAGTCGTCACGTGTTGAAGGTAGTCATCTTTTCCAGAGATATTAGAAGAATTAAACAGATTGTACCAGACTATGATGTCATTGCTCGATTTTAATCTACAAAACGTATATCTAATTAGCCCCGTGCTCATTGTCACTTGTACTAGCACATAAACCAGGGTATCCTTTAGAGAATTTAAATAACATCTACAGTACATATATGTATTGTATTACACAGGTTGGTCAAAACCTTTTAAAACAATTAAAGGCTTTGTAGTATAATAAATTGATAATTAACGATTTATACAATTTGAAACATAAATAAAATAGAAATAGCCAGCGAATAGGCGTATATCATACCTGGACGGTCTGTATTTCTGATAAACTGATTGTTTTTAAATTAGAAATAAATATTTGACAACCGTGGGACTGAACCCATTCTTGGGGAATACACATTATCTGGACAGTTTCTGTAAGCAAAGAATTGGGAGAGTATAAATACAAAGGTATAAAATTTTTCAAAAGAGTCGATTTAAATATTTTTCTGAAGATATTTGGTTTAGGAATACAACATTTTAACTTTGAAAAATTCGACTTAGAGAGAGAGAAAGAAATAGGGTTTAACGTCCACTCGACACAAACTAGGTCATTTCGGGACTAACACATGGTTCAACTTTATTTCAATAATTCGCTTGCGCGTAGGGGTCTTTAGCAGTGGGGGGAAACCGGAGGACCCGGAGAAACCCAAGAGGTTGGACAGGCGACCCCATGCCCTGTCATGTACAACCGGGGATCAGAAACCACGCTAGTTGAATCAATGACAGGCCTTATGATACGGCACGCACGTGCTAACCATTCGACCATCCAACCCACCAAAATAAGACTTAATGGATACCAGAAATCGGTATCCGTAACAAATAATCATTGGAAATGAAATGAAATGAGGTTTAACGTCTTAGTTTTCTGCTCCGACGGGGCTAATGATAACGGGCTGTGTGGGGAATTGTGCCCGAACAACGGAGTTATGACCTACTCTTATTTCTTTAACCTCGTTTCTCGATCCATCCGAAGGACTATGCGTTGTCCTTTGCCAGGCCCCCATCCTACACCAATGACATTGGGAAACCACACTGGAAAATCCCGATTAAATTTCTTGGGATCGAACCTTAAACCTCCAGGGTGAGCCAACGTCTTATTCACTTGGCAACTGTGATGAAAACGGTAGTCAAAATATAGACTTACTCGATATGCATTGTCTGGCATACGGTATCATACTTTTCATAGATACTTTATAAAAATCTTCAACATCATTCCAAATACACAATCTACAAAATACAAAACATCCAAATACACAATCTTCAAAGAATAAAACTTTCAAATACACAATCTACAAAATACAAAACATCCAAATACACAATCTACAAAGAATAAAACTTTCAAATACACAATCTACAAAATATAAAACATCCAAATACACAATTTACAAAACATCCAAATACACAATCTACAAAGAATAAAACTTTCAAATACACAATCTACAAAATATTCAAATACACAATCTACAAATTATCCAAATACACAATCTACAAAATATAAAATATCCAAATACGTCCCATCCGAACAACTGTACAGTGTCCCTTGCAAGGCCCTAACGGGGACCACGCCAGAAACTCCAAGAAGAAAAACGTGACTTGGAACATACCTGTCTGTATATTCATCGTCAGTAATTGGTGCCAAATATAGGGTAGCTTTATCAGGAAACATGTGGCCATCCTTAAAGATACATTATGTAAGATTTAGATAAAGAGCTGATGATTCTTGTTAGAATAGCTAAAAAAATAGATAATGTAAAATTAAAATATTGAAAATTTCATTCAAATTACTTCATTCTGAGCCAAGTTATCACTGTTTGTAGTTTTGGCAAGATGTGTGCATTGTGGTAACCAGGACACTGGTATATTCGAGATTTAGCCTCACTTTCCCATGCAGGGATCGAACACGCGACCTCCAGACTGGCTCCACTACACGAGACTTAATAAACAGTAATTGTATTCTGTAGAAACAATTTGTACTATTACACCTATTTGTCATTTTGTATCTATCGACTTTATGAATTATATATTTTATTTTATCCAACAAAAACATTTTTTCTAACTATTATATATATCAACCTAAAGTTCAATCCAATTACCTTTTTTAAAAATTTATCCCTGGCGAATAAAATGGATTCCAGCATAGACTCGTACAGTAAATTATATCCCTGAAAATTAACAAATTCTATATTTTTATTGAAATCTATATTAGGGGCCGATCCAGGAATATTTGTGGAAGGGGGTTTGCCACATTCCTGAGACAATGTATCCCCATCCCCCCCCCCCCCCGCCTTCATATTTTGGGATAAATACTTGGTCTCCATCGTCATTTTGGCGTATATACATACGCATCGAGCTTTTTAAAAAGGGAAATCCAATACCCCGTCTGCCGTCAATTTTTATTACGAATTAATACGATCATATTGTCATCAATTAATTGTGACATCACATATGTCTCTATCATTATCTCGCGCTTTGAGTGCCCATTCCGTCCCACCATCTGACAATAAAGGATAAAGCACACTGCCGAAACACTCTTCTCATGAAAAGAGTTGTTTTACAAAATTTCTTATGTACCTAGAAATCAAATAAGCGGACATTGTAAACCATATAAGAGAGTGAGAAATGGGGTTTAACGTCCACTCGACACAAAGTAGATCATTTCGGGACTAACATATGGTTCAATTTTATTTCAATAATTCGCTTGTGCGTAGGGGTCTTTAGCCGTGAGAAGACACCAGAGGACCCGGATAAAACCCACGAGGTTGGACAGGCGACCCTATTCCTTGTCACGTACAACCGGGGAATCGAAACCATACCAGTTGACTCAATGACAGACCTTATGATACAACGCGCACGCGCTACCCCCCCCCCCCCCGGTGTAAACCATATAAGCATTATCAAATCAAATGTTTATATGGCGTCGGTTCTTTTTAGAAGAGCTTCATGGTAAAGTTGATACACGGTCGTTTTAGGTTTTTCTTCCCGTATTAACCCTTTCACTGCGTATACCCGGTAGTACCGGGTATTATAAAATGTCGGTAAAATGCCCGTACCCGGTATTACCGTGTACTCAGTAAAGCCCTCGCTAAAATTAGTACCGTAACTGCAAGTGCCATCTATTGTATTTTCTATACACTAGAACATATTTCCACGTGTTTCAAAGCAGCAAACCGTAAAATGGCGGAGTGCATTGTGACAACGTAGACGATGCACTCTCGACGAAGTCGTGAATGACGTCTTGCTGACCAACATGTGGACAATTTCGAGGCGGGTGATACACATAATTCGTTTCCAGTTACTTGATAATGATAGTAGTCAGGACAGTGATTGGTATTATGAAGTGTGTGATTTGTTGCGCGACGTTCCGCCCATGGCTAGCTATGTCTCTCGTGCATGATGAACAAGCACAATGTGAACACGATAGCCCTGTGTCTGCAGTAGATTCTGACAATAATTCTGATGTTGATAATAATGCTGGCCTGCTGGATCGTAAAATACGTAGGTAATTCCTGATTCCCGAACGTGTAGATCTATTGACTGACTATATTGATAATGATGGGACTTGGGGATGAAAGTGAAAGTGAAAGTAAAAACAAGGTATTGCAATCCGCACGTGGTCATGGCAGCGGGAGACGTGATGCGCGTGTTCGCGGCGGCATTGCTCATGGCTGCTATTGATATTTTTGTTCATTTTATATATCTTTATCAAAATCCAGTAAAAAAAACAATATCTTTTAAGTATTTCATGGAGAAAAATTCGTTTTCGTGTTAGCTTTAGTGTGAAATGAGAAATCCAAAATGGCCGCCATGACGTCACGTGACTACATTATTATGCAAATTTCCAAAATTCTATTTTTTCCTCTTAGCCCAACCTCATGCCCATCCCAACAGACAAAAAGATTTTTCATAAAAGCTTCCATAAGTACTGCTTGGCATTCAGTTCCAACCTCCCTTTTTTCCTCAAAAAAGGGTCTAGCACAGGCAGTGGATTTACGTCTAGTGTTTCTTCCCGTATTAAGCACCGTTATTCATTCCTGTGATTACACGAAAACGACACCTAGCCTATGATGTCATTAAATTGTTTAAACTAAACATTGACCTATAATACAACCTACCATCCATTCACTAACAATAATATCAACTTTTTCTGATAACTCCGCCTCCTGAAATAAATATATAATCTTCTTATATAGTAACAATTTGAGTTTTATCTGGTATTATATATATAATATATAATATCAATTTGATTTTTATATCGAATTATATATCAAATATATCTAGTATTGTATATAATATTATATTATAATAATTTGAGTTACATCTGGTATTATATAAAATATAACAATTATATAAAATTTGAGTTTTATCTCGTATTATATAAAATATAACAATTGAGTTTTATCTCTATTATATGAACTATAACAATTTGAGTTCTATCTCGTATTATATAAAATATAACAATTTGGTTCTATCTGCTATTATATAAAATATAACAATTTGAGTTCTATCTCGTATTACATAAAATATTATAACAATTTGAGTTGTTATATAAAATATAATACTTGAGTTTTATCTCGTATTATATAAAATGTAATAATAATTTGAGTTATATATAAAATATAATAACAATTTGAGTTTATCTCGTATTTTATAAAATATTATCTAACCTCTACTTTACAGTTTATTACTTCAATTCTGTCATCCATTTCATTTTCTTTTACAATTCTTCTCGTCTGCTCAGCCATTTGACTAGCTTCTATAGCGTACACTGAAATAAAGTATAATAATACACGATATACATACGGGATAATGCCTGCGAATAGAAAGGGTGTATATACAAAGTGAAAACAGGCGCTACTTAGAATATGAGAGAGAGAGAGAGAGAGAGAGAGAGAGAGAGAGAGGATCTAAGGTCCACTCGATACAAACTAAGTCATTTCGGGACTAACACATGGTTCAATTCCAAGCCTGCGAATAGAATGGGAGCAATATACAAAGAGTGAGAGAGAGTGAGAGAGAGAGAGAGAGAGTGAGAGAGATGGGGTTTAAGGTACACTAGACACAAACTAAGTCATATGCTTCAATTTCATTTCAACAATTCGCTTGCGCGTAGGGGTCTTTAGGAATGGGAGGAAACCGGGGACCCGGAGAAAGCCCACGAGGATGGACAGACGACACTTCTCCTTGTCACGTAGAATCAGGGAAACGAAACCACGCCAGTTGACTCAATGACAGACTGTATGATACAACGCATCCTGATCTATTGCCCCAGTGGTCTCCAGATCTATTGCCCTAGTTGTCTCCTGATTTATTGCCCCAGTGGTCTCCCGATCTATTGCCCCAGTTGTCATGATCAAGGTGTCGTTGTGATCCGAAAAGGACGAGGAATGATCTCCTATGATCAGACCAGACCATATCACATTTTGAGAAACAATGGCCGTATTTTTTTTTACCTTGGACATGACCCCCTGGAAGCGGTGAATGAACTGACATGCGTAGTCGTCGATTAAACATAATATACCCTTGTAGCTTACCCTTTTTAGCTCCAGCTTGAACACAGAATAAACTTAAAATACCCGTCCCAGCTCCAACATCTAGTACTGTCTTACCATAAAACTTCTTATAATTCTTTAATATAGCCATTCTATAGAACAACAGAATCACGTGTCAGTTAATATAGAACAACAGAACAACAGAACAACCACGTGTCTGTTAATACAGAACCACGTGTCAGTTAATATAGAACAACAGATCTAGAATCACGTGTCAGTTAATATAGAACAACAGAATCACGTGTCAGTTAATATAGATCGACGTGTCAGTTAATATAGAACTACAGAATCACGTGTTAGTTAATACACTGAAAAAAAACTTGTGTTGAAACAACACAAACTTGTGTTATTTTCAACACAAGTTAGGTGTCTCTATTTAACAACACAATCTTGTGTTAAATGTTGAAACAACACAAAACTTGTGTTAAATGTTGAAACAACACAAAACTTGTGTTAAATGTTGAAACAACACAAAACTTGTGTTAAATGTTGAAATAACACAAAACTTGTGTGAAAATCTACACATTATTTGTGTTGAAATTTCTGAAACTTGTTTGTGTTGAAATTTCTGAAACTTGTGTTGAAATTTCTGAAACTCGTGTTGTTTCGTACAAACTTGTGTAGAACAAAAACTTGTGTTGTATTTTACCAATTTATATCCAGTATAGCAACCTTTCGAATGCAACCCCTTCTATTCGTTCTGTTTAAACTGTGATTATTGATAAATGACATAATAATTTTGTTTGTTAAATTATTATTTATTCAATAAATGATATGAAAAAATAAATTAATGCCTAATTAATACCAATACAGACATCTCGAAGGTTAATAAACAAAGTTAATTCCAATACTAATAAAATTGTGTTATACAATGAAAAAATACCCCCACCCCCCCATTCCAAATTATTAAATAAAAAGTAGCTATTTAAATTGAAAAATAAAGCACCGAGACATTTGGAATATTAATCAACAAAGTTAATTTCAATACTAATAAAATTGTGTTCAATAGTAACAATATCCCCCCACCCCTCAAAAAAAGCTATTTAATTTTTTTTTACAATTAACCTTAAAAAGAACTGAGAATATAATATATATGTTCACAATATCCCTACCCCATGGTCCCAAAACATACATTTTAAATAAATCTAAATTTAATATCAACCAAACCAAGCACTAAAGACATTAATAATGCACTAAATTGAAATACTTTTAAGAAAAAATAGTCCCTTTAACAGATTAGGAATTCAAAATTTTCTACAGTATATAAATGGGAACTAATAGATAAAGCACAGGCAAATAATTATAGATAGATAAAATAAATATAGCATAAAAATCAAACAAAATGGAGAAAATTAAAAATTTGTAAAACAAAAATTGATTAATTAATAAAACCATTTTATATAAAAGAGGCATTAACATTCGAAATGTTCACTAAATGTTTAAAAATAAAGGTTGATTTCATCCTACAATAATACATTTTTATAATTATCGAATGTTACTATTAATTATTGATGATCCCTCTATATTATTTCAAGTTTTCAGGCCAAATCTTTAGTGTTTAGGATTACACTGCATTCTATATAATGAAACATTATTAGAGATGGTTTGGTATTTGACATTAAAAACAAAAATGTGATTAAAAAGGCAATATAACTTTTGGGTTTCCACAATAAGATCTGTAAAAGAATTTGATGACTTTATATTCAGAATTTAGAGTTGTTTTCTTTCTTTGGTATTAATATTCACTAAATAGATATAATTCTCCAAGGATGTTCAAGTGATTATTATAAATACACTTATCGACAAATGGGGTTTTGATGTGGATTTAACTTGGTACACCAGTCATGGGTATAGAGTTATTTAGGGGGCGGGGAGTTGAAAAGAGCATAATTTAACAATATATTATATTATTTTGAGACTCATATGTATGACTACATGCGAATGCAAAAGGCGGGGGGGGGGGGTATTTTAGTCAGGTAGCATTATTGCTTACTCATGTACACCAAAAACACGTCATCTCGCCTAAACAGATGTTTTACGACAAAACGCTTCAACTTGATTGATTGCCATGTTTTTGGTGTATATTTATATCTTTTCTTGGGCGCCGAATCGAACTACGGCTTTTAAAATGTTCAAAAATCGACGTAAATTGATTTTTTCAACGTTAGTTGGTATACAACGATGAGCACATGAGTGAGTAGACTGTGGGAAAGTTACGACAACTCATTTCCAGGCGCCATTTTGGGTCCCAATTATGACGCCATAAAAGCTATGACGTCATGGCTTCATACAGTTTTACATACCAAAATTTGTTTTTTCTTGCAGTATTAGACGTTGAGGGATAATATAACGTTTTACCCTAAAAAAAATGCAAAAGAAACCAATGCAGTTTGGTTCAGTGATAAATATATCAAACAAAATCATACCCAAAATCGGGGAATTTTCTGAGAGCGATATCTCGTAATCAGTGTGTTTTACTATTTACTCGTTGGATTATAAATGATTTCTTTTTAAATTCCTCAAACACAGAGTGGTTATGAAAGCGAAAAGTGCCGAAAAATCGAATTTGACAAACGTCAAATTAAAAAAAAGAAGTATTTGTTATATGGTGCCGGGCGTTTCTTTCATAATGGCCACCAAATTTGGTAATATTATTATTATTATTATTATTACAGCATATTTATAGCGCGCCCTTTCATAAAACATGTTCAGGGGCACTCTACAAAGTGACAATGTAATCATAAATAAACAACAAGATTATGGACATGTTAACAATTGTATACAGAGTCAGTTAAAAGCCTCATTAAATAAATGTGATTTTAGTTGTTTTTTAAAAGAATATAGAGATGTACAACATCTTAAACTAAATGGTAGATTATCCCATAAAACAGGTGCTTGATAACTAAAAGAGACTAGTTGAACAGTTTTGGGCTTTAAAAATAGTTTATCTGATGTACGTAATGTTCGACCATTATATCGTGGTTATGTACGCGAAATGTGCGGAAATCGAATTTGACAAACATCAATTAAAGAAATGTATTTTCCATGTGGTGCCGGGCATTTCTTTTAAAAGAGCTACCGAATTTGGTAATACATGTATAAGGCAATTTAACAAAAAAAAACATAAATTTGGTAGACTAAAAGGGCATCTCTTAAGATACGTAAGATATGACTTTTGCAATGTCCTTTATGGTTTTCGATGTCTGTGAATTTGAAAATAAATTTTGAAAATACAAAATAGCAGCAACACCAATTGGCGGATATTAAATTAATCGTCATTTTTCCTGTTGGATATTAGATAGTGTCTCTTAAGCATGATGTACACTGTAGTTCGATGTACCCTTTAGTTCAGATATAGTCTCCAAACCGTGTTTACACTGACTGTAGTTTGGGTGTAGTTCGTCAAATGAAGATGAATTTTACGATACAAAAAAAATGAATATATTGTAAACGCGCTTTAAATATCTGGATGCGATAGACTTCGTGATAACAAATTCAAGGTACATTATATCATTGGCAATAATAAGATCCAATTTTAGTTTTTAGTTACACACTATTAACCACCAATAGATGTTTTAATGACAATAAATCATAAAATGTATTCAGCTCGACGTAAGACATAAATAGATACAGTTGGTTTAACTTGAATAGAAGTTTTAATTATCTATGCTGCATATATGCATATATCACCTTGATGTTCATATCGTCTTACGTATTTGTCAACATCAAGGTTAGTGCGACCCATTTGTGACAATTTCTAGTTCCCAAATATTAGCGATTTAGCTCCTTTAAAAGCGAATGCAAGTTAAATATGTTTAATCAGAGGCGGATTCAATGGGGGGCGCCCCCCCCCCCCCCCCCTAATTTTCAACAGTGCCCTTTTTTACGGCTGAAAGTGCCTTTTCTCAGACTCAAATATGTCCGTTCCCAACCCGTTGTAGGGATCCCAAATGACTCGAACCATTGACTCAAACACACCAGTCTGGGAAATAGCTCTTGGAATGGCTACAGATGCAAGGAAATGACGGATAATTTTCTTGGGGACCCCCCCCCCCCTCAGCGGCAAGCCCCGTCTCCGCGGTCAATGCCTTCATTTTGCAGCGCCCCCCCTTTTCAAAATTCCTAGATCCGCCCCTGGTTTAATAGTTATTTTATCTAGTGTATCTTTTATTTTGATTTTTCTTATAGAATAAGGCTATATAACAATAATGTGCGCTTCTTGTTGTATAATACTAATAATAGTATGTTCAGCTATACTTTTCGTTTAAAAAATGTATGTTTTATGTCCTATATACACTTATTCGCTGAAATCTATGACATCCAACAATATAATAGGTCATATAAATAGATAATAAGTTTGCATGACGTCATATGAAATTCCTGGCTTCACAGTTGTCGCAACTTTATCTATACACGGCGTTGCGTCGACCAACCATGCAATGTGAAGTAGATGTCAATATGGTTATGCGCATAGGCGTACGAGCTGGGGGGGGGGGGGGGGGGCTGGGAACCAAATACTGGGAAAATTTGGGCACACAATTGTACTTTGTAAAAGTTGTATAAAAAAATATTGTGTTCTTAATGTGTCCAATTTAACAGCGAATTTATTATTATTATGTAACATATTAAGAACCTAACTACATTTTTGGGGCACCAACCACCACCGCCCCCCAGTCAAAAATTTCCCCGTACGCCTATGGTTATGTGTAAGAATATTCAGTTCAATATATTCACGGTGTATGATTTTATTCATACTTCAATTTTAGTGAGTTAATTCTGCAACGTTTTTAGAAAAAATTGCTATTAATTTGGCCAGTACTGTAATAGCAAGTGTATAAATATTTTCTGTTCAGTCTGTACACAGTAACATATCTGAGAACCATATTATCATTTCTGCCCAAGGCTCCCTGTGCCTTATAGTTAGCAGTGATACAAGGCAATTACCAATTTTCCGTGCTCTTGGCCTGAAGAAATAAAATAATAAAAGTCAAGTTTTTATTATTATGCAAGTGGCAAAATACAATTCTTCATGGTATGATTTGAATAAATACAACTGATTTGAAGTTGGAATTATTATTTGTCTAAGATGACTGGGCATTTACAAATTGAAATAGCTACTCTTCATCAAGAAAATACATGAATATTTTTCCCAATTCACCTGGATTTTATTGTAGGTCTTTGTACGTGAAATAGCTTTATTTAACGTCCGCTACCACCGAAATGGTATTGCAGAAAATTAACAAATTCGGATTCACTTTTAAAGGAATTAGACTACACTATCGCTGGATTGTATTATATTCAAAATGGCGCCCAGAACACAAAACAAACATTGCAATTCAGGGCGGACTGGTGTCGAGGTTGTATCCTAAGAATGATTTTTTGAATATTTAATCAAACAGAAAAACAATTATGCACATGCAGTTATGATATAATATTAAATTAGCTTACCTCAAATACCTCGAAATATACTGTTTGGTCAGTTTGTCCGCCCGCCATATTTCTATTAGTCACACATCCTTCGGCCAATTAAAATGGAGGTATATTTTGTTTTAACCGAAACGAAAAATTTGCGTTATAAATACATTGTATTAAAAAATACCAAAATCACAAACCTGATATTCTTATTTTCTGAACAAACTTTTTTCACAACAATATCACTTTTTTCGATACTAATGCTTAATAATACAGTTAACATTTGCAGTACCACAGGGTTTAATACCGCAAAATTACTTCAATAAATATTTCTTTCTTTGTTTTAAGAGTAATTCATTTTAATTGGTCATTTACAGGTAAGAATAAATTTCCAATTTCGATTAATGAACCAATTAAATTAAATAAAAAGATTAACTCGACTATTTCCACGCCCATTCAAACATTTTTTTAAAACGTAGATATAACACAATTGTTATTGTCTTTGATGTGTCAAGTTTATTGGGGCGATATCAATCAGACACTTCCAAATGCAGACATTGTAATAACCTGTCTCTGTATATTGTCTGAGACAAGATGTGAAAATAAACAAAGAGTAGAATCAGAATAATCTTTTATTATATCTAATTAAATAAATAGTTTATATTTAGATAATAATTGACTAAAACTTTGATCTCTTATATCAGTATACTGTTATAAAATACGTTGTTTTAAAAGAGATATTAAATGCATCGCACGATACAAACATTGCGATTTCTACTTAATGTTTGTAATAATTAATATATCCTTTTAGATAATTAGAAATATTAAAAAATAAATCAAGTGAATTACTCGACATTCAAATTCAGGAAGAGTGGTTTTACATATAGGCTAGTGATAAAGGAACATAATAAATATTATCTTTAATGTCGACGTAATTAATTATATGGAAAAAAAACACATAAGATTTTATAAATGTACACAAGTTTGTGTTAAGACATTGAAAAAAAACACAAACTTGTGTCATTGCAATGCAATACAACACAAACATGTGTTAAATATTTTTAACACAAGTTCTTGTGTTGAGATCCAACACAAGGGTTTTTTCAGTGTACAGAACTACGTGTTAGTTAATGTAGAAAAACAAAACCACGTGTCAATCAATATAGAACAACAGAACCACGTGTCAGTTAATATAGAACAACTGAACCATTTGTCAATCAACAGGACTATAGAAATGAAATGAAATGGGGTTTATAATCCTACTGTTCTGCTCGAATTGGGCCAATGAAGACGGACATGCGTCATACAGTGTGCTATGAGGAAATTTGGCCCGGGCAGCGGCAATGTGGCCTACTGTTATTTCGAATTCCAACTGCCAAGGGATCTTTTACGTGCACGCCAATGTATACACGGGACCTCGATTTCCGTCCTATCCGACTGTTATCCTTTTCAGGCCCTCTATCCTGCATCACTGACAGAGGGGAAACCACACCGGAAAATCCAGATGCACCCTCTCCACCAATGCAGGAATCGAACAAGCAACCTGCACACAAGCGACCAAGCGGCATACCCAACTTAGCCACCGCGGCTCCCAAGCCTATAGACAATCCATAGACCTGTCATATATAACGTGCGTATAAAATCATTCATTGTCATATATAATGCCAAGTAGACCTTACTTTACTGGGGGGGGGGGGGGTAATATAAAGGGAGCCACGGTGGCTAGGTGGTTAAGGCGCTGGCTCACTAGCCTTGAGGTCGGGTGTTCGATCCCTGCATTGGCCGAGAAAGCTCATCGGGATTTTCCGACGTGGTTTCCCCTTGCCAGTGGCGCGAACGGAGGGTCTGACAAGGACAGCTGTCTAGTCCTTCCGATGAGACGAAAAACCGAGGTCCTGTGTATATACATTGGAATGCACGTAAAAGACCCCTTGGCAGTTGGAATTCGATATGAGAGCATGCCATAGTACCGCTGTCCGGACAAAAAGTCCCTCATAGCACCCTGTATGGCGTATGCCCGTCTTCATTTGCCCAGTATATGAGCAGAACAGTAGGACGTTAAACCCCATTTCATTTCATTTCATTTATTCATATAAAGCGTTTATAATTACGGCAAAGTAATATTCTAGACCAAGACAAATTACAACCAGAATGAAATAAAAATGAAATATTAAATTAAATTAAAACAGTGTTCACCTGTAAGCGTTTGTTCGTATCTTGTCTCGTAACATTTCTTCATGTATAGCTATATCACCATAATTCCTGAAAAGAAATATAAAAATTGCCTTTACTGGGAGTGGGAGGAGGAGATGGATGACCGAATGATTAGCACGTGGTCGCTGTATTATAAGGTCTGTCATTGAGTAGGAGTTTGTCCAACCTTGTGGGTTTTCTGCGAGTCCTCCGGTTCCCACCCACTGCTAAAGAACCCTATGCGCAAGCGAATTATAGAAATAAAATTAAACCATATGTTATTCCCGAAATGACCTAGTTTGTGTCGAGTGGACGTTAAAGCCCCCCCCCCTCTCTCTCTCTCTCTCTCCCTCTCTCGCCTTGACTGAGAGACCTCTGTCGAGTATTTGGCTAACGCTAACTGATTTTTACAGCAGTATTGTGTTCAAGATATCTGAATGGAAATGAAATGAAATATAATAGGGTGTAACATCCGACTGTTCTCTGTTCTGTCCCGACTAAGCTAATTAAGACGGGCATACGCCATATTGTGTGCAAAAAGGGATATTCTAATTTTGAATTCCAACTGCCAATGGATGATTAGGGATGTTTAGCGTGCACGCAAATGTGTACACGAGATCTTGGTTTTTCGTACCACCGGAACGACTAGACAGCTGTCCTGCACCAGTGACAAGGGGAAACCACACCGGAAAACCCCTATGAACTTTCTCGGCCAACACTGGGATCGAACCCACTACCTCCAGACTAGCGAGTCAGCGCCTCACTCACTTAGCCACCCTGGCTCCCATACCTGAGTGAGATTTGGCAAGCATCGTAAAAACCGTCCCATACAGAAAGCACCCTGTTCTAATTCTAATACACCCTCTTCTTCTATTGTATACAAAACATAATAAAGATCCCTTGGCAGTTGGAATTCGATAAAAGAGTAGATAGTGCCGCTGTCCGGGTAAAATTTCCCTCATAGCACACTGCATAGCGTATGTCCGGGCAAAATTTCCCTCATACTCATTGCACACGTATGGTGTATGCCCGACTTCATAAGCCCATGCTGTCAGAGCAGAACAGTAGGGCGTTAAACCCCATTTCATTTCATTTCATCTCTATTATATCCCATACAAAATAAATAATATACTAACTCAAAATAATCAGCGTCCATTTTCTGCTTCTTGGTTTGACCAATTTCGCTATCTTCAGTATCATTGCCTGGTTTAATAGATCTATGGAATATAGAAATACATATATCATATTTTATGCCAGTTAACACAATGACAGACCTTATGATACAACGCACACGCGCCAACCATTAGACCACCCCCTTCATACCATTCGGCCACCCCACCCATAAATTAACAATCATGAAACCGTCGCTTAATTGGTAACACAGGTGGGTAGAGTAAGATTTACTAATGATAGTTATCCATAGAACTGTGTTGTGTTATACTATGTTCAATGGCTAAATGACATTTAAAGATTATATCGAAATAGTTCGCAGCACCACTGCCCGGGCAAATTGTCACCCCCCCCCCCCCCCTTAGTACATTGTATGGTGTAAGTCAATTTTCATTATCCCAGTCGGTGTAGAAAAGTTTAACGTTACAAAAAACACTTTTATTTCATTTCACGCCGTAGAGTACAGACCTGTAGTTATCAGTGTAACTGTAACTAACAAGAGAATACAGAATTATCGACCACAGACAGCTAACGGTGTATAACGGTAAATAGCACGCGACGACACTACACACAGGTAAACTTCATCAGTCAGTACCTAGCGTCGAGTATTGGCAACATATCAATTTCAGACAGGAATAACTCTTTCTCGACACAAATTACATCCATCGGTTTTTGCTTAAAATTGATGGCCGCTTGTTTTAAAAATACAATTTGGAAATTATCAATATCCGGCAAACTCGATTAAAAAACGATGAGAGTAATCATCTAGTTAAAATATGATAGTGTATATTTATTAACACCGTCTTCTTTATGTTCGTTTCTGCTAAAACAAAACCAGTAAAAATTATACTTGATAATATCACGGAATATAAGCTTTCGAGATCCTCACTTCAAACTGGGAGGTACGAAGTCACTGAATTATCCTGCCATCTTAAATATGTGATCGATTCCTAGAATTGTCTAGCTATAAATTAAATTAATTGTTGGTTAAAACTCATAAGTAGCATCGCTTTCAGTGACGGTCCTTGACTTCCTTTTTTAATATTTTATGAAGGACATGTCCATATTACTGCATACAAAACATTGCCTTAACCATTGATTCTATTAACCATTAGTTTCTACTGATTTCATGATAGTCCGCTATATTTTAGATACACGCGCGCGCTGTATCATACGGTCAGCCATTGAGTTAAGTGGCAGGGTTTCGATTCCCCGGTTGTACGTGACAAGGAGTAGGGTCGCCCGTCCAACCTCGTGGGTTTTCTCCGGGTCCTCCTGTTTCCTCCCACTGCTAAAGACCCCTACGCGCAAAGCGAATTATTGAAATTAAATTGAACCATATGTTAGTCCCGAAATGACCTAGTTTGTGTCGAGTGGACGTTAAACCCCATCTCTCTCTCCCTCCCTTCATTACATGTGTAGGCCTATATTATAGGCCTATACCAGATATTATTTGAGATTATCCGATAAGTCATAATTTATAGATAACGGTATAAGGGAGGTAACTGCATTTAACTGCCGACAGTTCGTTTACCCTATGTATTATTATTTATAAACATACAGAAACGGGGGAATGACCAGTCATTTCAGTTGGAAATATAGAATCAAACACAGTCAGAAATTCAGTCTAACTTTAAATTGACTACTATCGTAAAGAACGCCTATATAGCTTACTCAGTAACAACTGTCCCCTGAACACATACCCCAGATCCACACTTCACGGTCGTCGGTGTGTTATGACGGGTATATTCTACTATTTACCTTTTTGAATACCGATCCATGTTCTGCCCTTTGTCCATATTCCACACTAATAATGTGTCAATAAACCAGTTATATGCCAAATAGCATTACAATGATAATTTCACAAAGTAATGTTTTGTATTGCCGCGTCTTGAAAGCTTGAGAAGTAGTCAGATATCACAACCGTTTACTAAGGGACATGCGCAGTACAAAGCCGCGGTGTCCTAAATTTTTGGCATCGGAAAATAAAACGAAATCATTTTCGATATTTTACATGCTCAAACTCCTCGCCATTCAGGGGGGTTGGATGGCAGAATGGTTAGCACGTGTTAGTCCCGAAATGACCTAGTTTGTATCGAGTGAATCTCTCTCTCTCTCTCTCTCTCTCTCTCTCTCTCTCTCTTTCGAATCCCCGGTTGTATGTGACAAGGAATAGGGTCACCTGTCCAACCTCGTGGGTTTTCTCCGGGTCCTCCGGTTTCCTCCCACTGCTAAAGACCCCTACGCGCAAGCGAATTATTGAAATAAAATTAAAAACCATGTGTTAGTCCTGAAATGACCTAGTTTGTGTCGAGTGGACGTTAAACCCCATCTCTCTCTCTCTCTCTCTCTCCCTCTCTCTCTCTTCTATGGTCGCATGCAGCTAGTCAAATCGTACACGCAGTTTGTCGTAGGTATTTGAATGTCTATGTCAGGACAACGACATTCTTTTACCAGAAGATGGATTATAATTGTATGTATTGTTAGTAACAGAGATTCTCATTTCCCATTTATAATAAAATTGGAAATCTACAGAAAGAAGGCAAATTATAGATGTATTCATTTTAGGATGTTCTATTATATCTCTTGATGACGATGCCTGTAAGAGTATCGAAACGGTGCATGAAAAAACTAAACAGCAGTAAATCGATAAAGTTGTTTTGTTTTTTAATATTGGTGTCTTGTTTTTTAATAAGTCATATGGGATTTTAGACGGTCTTGAGGGGATATCTGTTCGAAACGTTCGATCCCTGCATTGACCGAGGAAATTCATCCAGAATCTGTGGACAACGGTGCATCATTATTGTGTTTGTTTTTTTCCGGCGTGGTTTCCCCTTGTCAGTGATGCAGGACGGAGGGTCTGACAAGGACAGCTGTCTAGTCGTTCGGATGGGACGAAAAACCGAGGACCCGTGTATACATTGGCATACACGTAAAATATCCATGGCAGTTGGAATTCGATACGGGAGTTGGCCATAGTGCCGCTGCCCGGACAAAATTTCTCTCATAGCACACTGTATGGCGTATGCCCGACTTCATTAGCCCAGTAGGAGCAGAACAGTACGACATTAAACCCCATTTCATTTGATCATATTGCGGTACATTATCTCTTTTAAAAAAACTAAGGCAGTATGCATAACGATGTTGATATATATATAGTTACTTCACTTTACGACATAGCAACAATAGAAAATCAAGCTATAAAATATCCACACATGCTTGGTTAGTATTCATGTCATATGATATTTATTTACCACGGATGTTTTAAGACAATAATACATAGCAACAATATAAATACAAGTCATATAATATTCATATCAACGTATACAATTATATGAAATCAATATATCATCTTGCATTTGAAAAAGAAAACGAACACAATTTCTTTTGAACAAAATATGAATTATTAATGTTTGCAACATAACCGTTTGAAAGGATACCCATAAATATTTTTAAGTTAAAATAAAATGGCTGCCAAATTATCATCCATTAATTGTTTATCGCTAAAATTAAATCATGCTGAAGGTAGTGAAACGTATTTCCTTTGTTATCTATTTTTTGTTACCTATTACTGCGAGAACTGTCAGCTCTTTATCTAAATCATACATAATGCATCTTTTTCTTTCCCTGATTGATCAACATTTCATGCTATATTAGTAATACGAGATACCTTTACACCATCTTCTGTTATACATCAATGGATATTTTTTTAATGTTAATAATTCAGAGACGACAAAGCGAAAGCTACGGAGCCCCTTAAGCGCAATTTTCGATACTTTTTTTAAATTATTTCGTTTAAACGAAATAATTAATTCGTTTAAACGAAATAATATCATGTATTTCGTTTAAACGAAATAATTATTTCGTTTAAACGAATTAGTTATTTCGTTTAAACGAATGAATTATTTCGTTTAAACGAAATAATTCATATAAATAGACGTGTGTATGTACCAATTCCAACTAGTTGTATAGTCACAATAGCTGACCGTAGACCCATTCAACAATTACGTAACGCTATTTTTGTCGCTCATGGTAAAGATCCCTAGTATGGCCAAGTGGTCGAGATGTTTTACAGGGGTGGGTGAGTGTCAAAAATGGCAAAAAAAGCGTTACGTAATTGTTGAATGGTCTACGGTCAGCTATTGTGACTATACAACTAGTTGGAATTGGTACATACACACGTCTATTTATATGAATTATTTCGTTTAAACGAAATAATTAATTCGTTTAAACGAAATAATTAATAAGACTTGTATACACCAATTCAAACTAGTTTTATAGTCGCAATGGCTGGACGTAGACTACATTACATGTTATAAAAGCCAACCTTTTGACACCCACCCACCCCATGTAAGGCATGCATGTATGTCGCCACTGGAATGACCACAAAACTCCCTCCCCCTCCCGTTACATAACAGTAGAGTACCCCCCTCTGTCACCAAATACCTGCCGTCTGCTGATAGTGACTGGCGGCCAATTTGGCTGATATTCTTTCGAGTTTTGGGAGGTCCATGTAAACTGCTAAACGTTGTCAAAACGTTGCCATTTTTGACACCCACCGCCTGTGCCGTTATGAATTGCATTGAAACGTTGTGGTATGTTGTGGTTAGGACGCTTGTTTCTCATGATGGGGGCTCGGTGTGGAAGAGTGAAATGAGGGTCCGGTGTGGCAAAGTAGAGTAAGTCCCTGTGTGGCCGAGTGGGGGGGGGGGTCCGAGTGGTGGTAGAAACCCGATATGACTGAGTCCCCTTTGTCACCAAGTACCATTCCGTCTGCTGATAGTGACTGGCGGCCATTTGGCTGATATCATTTCGAGTTATTGGAGGTCCATGTAAACTGCTAAACGATGACAAAACGTTGCAATTTTTGACACCTACCACCCACCGCCTGTGTCGTTATGAATTGCATTGAAACGTTGTGGTATGTTCTGGTTATGACGCTTGTCCCTCATGATGGGGGCTCTGTGTGGACGATGGAATGAGAGTCCGGTGTGGCCGAGTAGAGTAAGTCCCTGTGTGGCCGAGTGGGGGGGGGGGGGGTGTCCGAGTGGGAGCAGGAACCCGATATTACCGAGTTGTTAGGACGCTTGCTGCTCATGGTGGAGGTCTTGGTGTGACAGAGTGTTCAGGATGCTTGTCGCTCATGGTAAAGATCTCTAGTATGGCCAGGTGGTCGAGATGTTTTACAGGGGTGGGTGGGTGTCAAAAATGGCAAAAATAGCGTTACGTAATTGTTGAATGGTCTACGGTCAGCTATTGTAACTATACAACTAGTTGGAATTGGTACATACACACGTCTATTTATATGAATTATTTCGTTTAAACAAACGAAATAATTAATTCGTTTAAACGAAATAATAATTCGTTTAAACGAAATAATTAATTCGTTTAAACGAAATACATGATATTATTTCGTTTAAACGAAATAATTAATTCGTTTAAACGAAATACATGATATCTAGATGGTCCACAGGCTAAAAACGTGATTTCTCGTTCAATCAGGGGCCATAATTCAGGCAGTTACTATCCGATATCCGTGAATATCGAAAGGAACCAAGATCTTTGGGTTATAAACTTCAATTTCAGATAAAAAATTGCGACCTCTATAGCTAAAAGCACGATTTTTTCGTACAATCAGGGACCATAATCCATGAAGTTAAGGTCCGATACAAGCCAATATCGACAGGAAATGAGATCTTATGGGGATAAACCTATATTTCAAGTTTCGTTGAAATCGGATAAAATTGTGACCTGTAGAGTGCCCACAAACAATTGTGGACGGACGGTCGTCCAGACCGACAGGGGCGACAACAATATTCGTCCACATGAAAATGTGAGCGTATAAAAACAGTCAGCATAGGCGTACGGCTTGATGACAGTTAAGGGGCAGAACCCGAAATGCCAGAAAAAATTCGGGTTTACAGAAAGCGGCGACGGCCTCCTCCGCCACCAAAGAAAATTTTGGAATATTTGACGGCTGCAAACACGTTTTCCTGCTATTTAAGCCCGTGAACAAAGCAACTTCAAAGTGATCTAATATAGGCTAATTAAGATGGCTGACTCAAATTCCAATCAAAAGATCAATCGCTTACAGTCCACGGAGACAGGTTCCTTGGGAGAAAATGTTGAAAATTTAACTGCTGCAAACGCGTTTACCTGCTATTCTAGCCTGTGAATACAGCAAGTTCAATTTGGTCCAATATAGCCTGCCTGGCCCTAGCTACGAGAACGTAACTAAAAACGCTGAGATATACTAATGTGCTTGTTTTTAGCTACGATTGGATGCCCTTAGTTCCAAGTGGAAAACTCAATTTCTTTATTAATGCGTGTACCATCTTAAAAATAAGTTAATTTTATACTATTAGTACTTATTACACATATGCAGTCCAATCTACTGAAACAACATTCATTTATCAGCAAATATTGACAATAAAGTAAATCAAGCGTTGTTTTTATCAAAATTGATTCGGACGTTCATAATTACGGCGTATTACTACTGCGCAACTCTGATCAGATTATTGCACACGAGGCCCCACCTTTATGTGTTACAGACGTAAATTTAAAATGTCGGAAAAAGCAATCGACTGTCGCTTTGATTTAAAAAGAGGTGATTTGTACCTGTTTCAGGTAGGATTATATACTTGATTGTAGTTGGGTGTGGCAGAAATATAATAAATAACAATAATGAATCGTTGTTTTGATTAAATATTTGTCAATTTTGTTTACAAATGCCGGTGCGAATCGCTCCCGCATGTTTTACGTTGATGTCAATAGCACCATTTCTTATCTCGAAACACGGAGGGTGGAGATATAAGGTTTATTATCTAGCCTGGCCCGTGAACAAAGCAACTTCAAAGTGGTCTTTGACAGTTTACAGTCCACGGAGACGGGACCGTTGGGAGAAATTTTGAAAATTTA